GTTAGATAATTTGAATTATCCCGTATTAAAGTTGCTTTACAGAAAATTCGATCGATATAAAATCTAGCGCTAGTAAAGAATAGGAAAGTAAATAAAAATAACAATAACTATTATTAAGTCAATATTGAATTTATTGATTATTACACTTTTAATACATAACAAATTTAGAATCAAAATAATTTTTTTTTTTAATATCATATTACTGTATTAGGGGATTTCAAAGCTAAAAAAAAAAGGAAAAAAAAAGAATTAATTTCATTTTATTGCAATCAGAGTTCTTTTTTTTTTTATGCTGTGCGTCAAAATATCAGCTTCGGATTAAATTAAATATATCACACTATTAATACATACATTTTACCCTAACGCTAATATAGACTCCTAATGAAACTGTATTTAAATTTTGAACTGACGCACAATATTTACATTAATGTTGTCTTTGATAAGAAATATATACTGAGAAAGTGCCTGGATTTTCTAGCTAGCTACTTTAAAGAATTTTATTCGTAACAATTTATCTATAGTTTCAAAGACGGATATGTACTGCTGGTGAAATAAGTTAGTAACACGAAAAAATGTATCAATTCTGTGAGGTGTCATGTTTACACAATTTAGATTAAGTAGAGGTTGGAACCGGTTTTAATAATTCGGGTTTATCACGTAAATTTTGTGATATTTTAGAAATTTATCCAATTAAATTTCAATAAATTCTAAAATATCACAAAATTCATGTGATAAACCCGAGAACTATTAAAAACCAGTTCCAATTAGCCGGTTATAACTCATAACCGGTTTGAAATTTTTTAACTCGATAAATCGGTTTTATTATAGCCGAATCATCCGATTGATCGGTTTTATTATAACAAAATTTTATTCGATCAATTGATTTTATTACAAATCCATCCAAATAATCGTTTTTATTTTAACCATTTATCAGTTATACACGATACCAAACTCTTTCATTATTTAATACAAGTGAAAGTGGGGTGCCACTGGCGCCCCTGTTGTATTACTTGTGTCAATTCTTGTAAATAGTATCCATTAAGTCATATATTCATAATAAGCTGATATCCTTTCATATAATTCACCATTCTATCTCAATTTATCTATCTTTGAATGGGTTATGTGTCTAAAACCATACATTATTCTGCTACTTTCATTACAATATGTATATTTTCTGTAACTTTAATTCTTTATTAGATGAATAAGATTGTCATATTAACGTTAATCATTTTCGCCTTATTATTATGCGGTACTTATAAAGCGCCTTTAACTATAAATATCCGAACCCGTTGAACCTGATAAATAAAATAGGACTATTGCTTAGTTCCGATTCGCCCTTGTGCGCAATAAGAAATAAAGTTATTACCCGTTAGATAATTTGAATTATCCCGTATTAAAGTTGCTTTACAGAAAATTCGATCGATATAAAATCTAGCGCTAGTAAATTTTTATATAAGATTAAACTTAATGTTTACAGTTACAATTCCCAACTAACACAGTGTTAAGTCCTCAAGATACATACGTGTGTTTCTTATTGCTAAAAAAAACCTAACTTACCTTAAACTTATTATTATTATTATTATTATTATTATTTGCATTCGCTCTTCCTTTTTACGTGCATTAATTTCTTGCTTTCGTGCTTTTTCTAGTCATGGTTGGCTCGCTTTAAAGCTGCCTCTTCTTTCTTTTTCTTCACATCCTTATCTTTCTTATTCACCACTTCCTCAGCATCCTTGATTGTCTGTCAAGATTTGTTACTGGTAAGAAGCTGTGCTTGGCCACTACTTCTTGCTCTTTAGGCTTAGAAGTTGGATACTTGAGTACTTAAGGAAGAAGTGCCAGGGTTCTTGAAAGTTTCTAACTCTTCTTTCATTAATGTATTTTCTTTCTTTATGGATTCGAGCTCTGACTTTAGCAAATCCACTTCTTGAATAACACTGGCTCGGGTAGGGTATGGATTAATTGGCTTGAGTTTAATACTGGCTCGAGTAGGGTATGAACGAGTTGGTGGAAGTAATTGTTTGGAGGGTTGGACAAGTAATTGTTCGGAAAGTTGGGCAAGTAATTTTTCGGAGGTTTGCAGGAGGATAATATAGGATTACATGCATTGTAATATAGAAAGAATGTCTGCTTGATAAATAGTTACACACACCAATACACATCAAATTTAGGAGTTAAACTTTATAAATGCTTTATTATTTTTATTGTGGAATAATAACCATACATGTCTAAAAACATTAAAATATGGAAAAACTTCGGCAACTGTATACTTGAGTAATAGTGGGTGCAGTAAACAATTTGATAAATAGCCGGTCACAAAGTTCACTAGAAATTTATTTTTTGATTTTTTTGATGTATAAGTCACGCTAAAAATAATAGCATAATACTAAACTAAGAGATTACCAAACCTAACTTGTTATTGTTGACATTAATCAGAATGCTAAATTGTAATATTATATAATAATAATTTCGTCTATATCCTCCGGTATAGGTTTTAAGTCATAAAAGAAGTAATCTTCGGGTAAATACAACCAATCTCGTATCCTTTCAGTATTTTCAATCGGAATGTAAGAATAGATTTTCTTATGCAACTTCTCCTGTTCCTTAAATTCAGTTTGAATGATTGCGAAAAAGTTGAGGATTTTTGTATAATATGAAATTGAATCAAAAGAAAATGGAATCATACAAGAAGCCATTTCAACGGCCAAGTACTTCTTTTTGTCTATGAGTGATACAGGAAACAATGTAAGCCGATCACCAACAATTTGGATGCTATAAGTCTTTATTCCTTTAACATCATTGAAGTTATTGCCAAGTATTCAGCAAAGACTACAAACAGATATTATCAATAACTTCTTCGCATCTCCAACTGTGTGTGTAATTGTGGCTTTAAATAGAGGACCTGGTTTATCGTTTCCATTCCATCTGACAAACGTAGAACAAGTAAATCTGTTTTTCACGGTCTGATATCATCTACAAACATGTTATTAGCTTCTTTTATTGAAGTGACGTTCTTCTCAATCCACTCGTACTTAATGTCTGGAGATGCATTTCGAAATGCTCGGAATATAGGAGATAAGCATTCGACAATAAATGTTCACTCAGTTATATCACGATCTAGGACTCTTGGTAATCTGTATTTGAATTTTGCAGTGAAATCTAGGAGTACGTACAATACAAAGAAGTTGAACCTAGCCTCCTCTGTCTGGTTATCCCCTTTAACAATTGTCTAATTAAAGTTCTTTGATTCGATTTTTGCGTATTCTGTTTCAAATATCGATTCAAGCTTCTTAACTAAATATTCTTGTAAAACAAATTGATCTTTCATTAGAAACAACTTTTCGATTTCTCCATAAGCTCCCTCTTCGACAGTTTCCTTGACATAATTTATTGTTGCGCGAAATGCACAAATAAGATATGGTGAATATCTATCACACATCTTTTTTGTTACGATTGGTTTGTTTGGTGCATAAATCAAAGCTTGTTATGCTGGTTGAGTCATTGGACGGGTTTGGGTCAAAATCTCGACAAACAGAATCCCGACAAACAAAATCCCGACAAAAATTGACTGACACTATGCTAACCCTAACCCTAATGCGGGCTAATCTGTCGGGATTTGACCGGCCCCCCATTGGACATGGTTAATGTTGTTAGACAAAACTTAAAGGTTTTGTCATTGACAAAAGTCGAAACTAGGTTTTGTCTTTTGTCAAAATTTTTTAATATGACAAAACTGACAAAACTGACAAAACTGACAAAAGGTGACAAAACTGACAAAAGGTGACAAAATTGAAAAAGTAACAAAACTAATAAAAAAAATAAAACTAACAAAAATAATAAAAATAAAAAAATAAAATTAATAAAAAATAATAATAAACTAAAATATATAAAATTTATATTTTTATTTTTTAAACTATAAAATAATTTATTTAATTTTTTTATAATACTTGTATATTAAATTAATATTAGTAAATTTAATAAATTGCTAATAATTTTTATATAATATATATAATATATATTAAATAATAATTATTAGCAATTCATTAAATTTATTAAAATTAATTAAATAATTTAAAATTTATTTTAAATTATTATATATTAGAATTAAGTATTCAATTATCAAGTTTTTATTTAATTTTATTAAATATTAAATATATTAAAGTTTAATATTCTATTAATAGTTTTTAAAAATATTATAAGGTCTGGTGATCTTAGTATAATAGTTAGGTTGTCGGACTGCTATGCAAGAGGTCTAGAGTTCAAATCCCACTATCAATAGAATTGAATAATTACCTAGATATCTGTATTCAACTTATGATAAACTCTGCTTGTTTCTGGGTTGTAACCTTGTAAATCATATTGTACCAATGCCAATCAGGGTATTGGAAGTATGACAGGGCATTTGGAAGGGTGTAATATTACATGAATAAATATTGATAGAATCTACAGGCAGGAGACCTGCATTGTAGAAATCTTGAGTTAGGTGAAATAATACAGATTTTGATAGTTATACCAGTTAATGCTCGATACAGAAAAGAAAATCTGTATATGAAAAGATCAGCAACTTGAATGTGAGTAAGTCTATTAGAAACTCTGAGTACAAAAAGATCAGTAGAATGAGTATGCATAAGTCTATTACACAAAATTGTATGATAACACCAACCTGGCTTGGTAGCTAACTAGATTTGAGAGGCTCTGTTCTGTGTGATATCTGGAGGTACAGACAACTTTCAGTAGCACCAGTCTGGATGATAACCAGATTTGGAAAGGCCTATCTCATATGATATCTGGAGGCACAGATAACTAACCCAATAGAAAGCCATAGTAGGAACCAGGTTTGTATAAACATCAAACAAGAGTATATGCAAGCTAAATTGGGATATAGCATAGCATATTTGGTATCATAGCACCTATCGATTATGAAATTGGTAAAGAGATATCTGAGATAGGCCTAGGCTTTGAATTATAAAGTTTGTAGACCAATGTCAGCTCTGTTGATATCTTCCAAAAAGGGAGTAGTACAGAGTTAGGCAAATTATGATAGAATAGCAAGTTGGAAATAGCATATAGCCAGAGAGTTTAAATAGAAAATTTTCAAATAGATTTTAGGTATAGTAACTAGTATAGAACCTTCGAGCAGACTACTTAAATTAAACAATTTAAAGTTGTATATGTGGCTAGTTGTACTCTCACAATATATAATATTTCTTACTATTTATATCAATAAAAATTCAGCTGATAGCATTTGTATAAAGTAAAAAAAAAAAAAAAAAAAAAAAAAAAATATTATAAAAATTTTAAATTTTAATTTGTAATAGTTT